TATATGTTTCGTCGATTATACAAAGGCCTTTGATAATGTTAGATGGGACAAACTATGGAACATATTGACGACAATGGGTGTACCGAAACACTTGACTCACCTTATTAGCAAACTGTATCAAGATAACCTGGCATATATTCGAATGGACGGATATCTGTCTGACAAATGCACTTTGGAGAAAGGAGTACGCCAAGGATGCGTTTTATCTCCCTTATTATTTAACATCTATTCAGAGTTCATAATGCGCAGATTTTTTTATGGTTGGGAGGGAGGAGTAAACCTAGGTGGTGTTAAGATATCTAACTTGCGTTTCGCAGATGACACTACACTTCTAGCCTCTACTCCAGAAGAAATTATTAAATTATTAAAAAAACTCGAGGTAGAAAGTGCTAAATTTGGACTCATGGTTAACTACAACAAAACCAAAATCATGGTTATTGATCGCCAACAACAGTTTCCTGAAACCCAAACTATTGCGGGATGCGAGGTAGTCTCATCTATGATATATCTTGGAGCTCTAGTTAACAACACAGGCAGTTGTGAATCCGAAATTAGAAGACGCATTCAACTAGCAAGAGCAGCAATGAGTGAACTAAACGGGGTCTGGCGTGATCGTCACATTACTATGACAAACAAAAAGAGACTCGTTTCAACTCTGGTCTTTTCCATATTTTACTATGCATGCGAGACATAGACAGTCAAAGAATCAGATCGACGACGTATAGACGCCTTTGAAATGTGGACATGGAGACGGCTGCTTCGAATTCCATGGACGGCTCGCCGTACAAATATCTCGGTTCTGGATGAAATTAAACCGGATCAGCGTCTCTCCAGTACCGTTTACTCTAGAATTTTAAAGTTCTTTGGCCATATCCATCGAAGTGATCACAAAATGGAGCGGTTGGTGGTCCAAGGAAGGCCTCAGACTCAACGCCAACGCGGAAGATCTCCACAGCGATGGGCGGACATTACTAAAAAGCTTCTCAATAAACAGTATACTGAGGCAATACATATAACTGATGACCGCGACCAGTGGAGAAATATTATCAATCAAACTGTCCGAGCTGCTGAAGCCCAATTATGAACCACAACACATCTACTAAGATGTTAATGACTGTGAAAATGACCAAGAGTTGGTTTTGCAATTTTCCTGGACCATCCTTATTGGAAAGGATTTTTTATAAGCATAGCTTACTTTGTTTTGGATAGATACCGTATACCTTTCCAAATCTGTATTAGTTCCTAGAGTTGAAGCCCCTTTATTCCGCAGAGCATCTTCTAAGAATCGGCTATGGAGTTCTACATTTGTCCTCCTAGACATAACAGACATAGAGGTATCCTCTGATACTTGCCAGTTCTGCAATTTCAATTGCAATTTTATTCGATATGTCAGCTGTTGCTAGCGTGATATCTATGACTACTTCGACAGAGTTCGTCGACCATCATCTGATGTCTTCTTCCTGCTGAAGGACTAGGGGTGTCTCAGTCTCAGCAACCGTCGTTGGCTGCCGAGTGTCTGAGGTTCCTGGTTTCGAGGAGGTGCCCTTCACTTTGTTGGTGCTTGCTTCAATGAGATGAACTTGTAGTTGCATGAGTCAATGAGATGAACTCAGTGCCCTTTTTCTAAGGACAGCCATATCATTGTCTCCGATTCTGAAGATAAACAGGTCTCCTTTAGAATCCTTATAGTGGAAGGTGCACCATCTCGCAACTGTCATATCTGGATTTTGCGCCGTTAACCTCCGCACCACTCTTTTAGGGTCATGAGAGGTGCTATTAGCTCAGGATCCATGAGAGGCTTTGGTACATTTTTTGAGCTTGTCCTGACTGACAACAGCCAGTGATGCTTCCTTCCACGGTTTGAGATCAGCTGTAGCCTTTTCCAGCCATACAAGCCCCCATCGTAATCAAAGACTACTTTGATGATCTCACCTGAGTAAGTCCACAATTTGAATGTGAGTGCTTTTACCTGGCTGCTGAAGGTGGACAATATTGTTCGGTCCAATTCCTCGATCAGGCTGCGTTTAATAAGGTTTGTCCGGTCGGCAGTGACCTTTTCTTACAGGTTTACCTTATCTATACTAGCGACCTTAACATGTCTTAAGGCGGCTTCCGCGAAGCTTTGGGAATGCGCGGCAGGGTTGAAACCGCTATGTGACTTCTTATGCTTCCTCGGCTTGTCCTCCGTTGAGGCACTTGTGTGAAGGCGCTTCATACCGGCGTTGTCAGCCTCCGATGTGGACACCTTCATCTTTGTTTTGGGAGGGGCTGGAGAGGGATGAGCTGCTTTTTGCCTCAGCGCCGCAAATTCTGCGACGTTTTGGCCGATTTTCCTGAGGTGGTCGTTGTCCATCCTCCGCTTGGGCCGAAATTTGAGGTGAACATTGCTGTTCATCCTTAGCTCCGGCTTCAGGCTGAGGTGAATGTTTTGGTACAGCCTCAGAATTTGGTTTTGTTTTTTTTGTTTTGTTTTGGTATTTATGTTGTTCCCACGAGTAACTAGGGAAAGATTGGTCGCCTATGGCGGAGCACCGCATTACCAATTTAAACAATGGGGTTTGCCTGGTTCCCCAGAGGGATCTTCACGACCACATAAAACCCTGTAGACATACAGCCATCGGCACGATTACCTCACACCTTATCTTGAGTAGGTCCTTTCTATTTAACGCAACTGTCGTTTTGCTGGCCGGTTAGTAGTTCAAAAACAGGATGCTTATTTTGCATATTTCCATGACCCATTAATCATTATTATTGACAGAACGGTTCACTCTACAGAAAAAGTGCAAATAAACAGTTTTGTTTAAAATTATCTCAGCTACATTTCTTGTTTGAAACATTTTTTTGCGGCGGACGGATTCTTGGTAAATAGATGTTTTCCATTTCGGCCCCTATGAGAAAGGGTGGTAGGGGCACAGAATAATAAACAGTCAGAATGCTCACTCTGCTTAAAAAAATAAGTACGCGCATCTCGTTCGCGCAGACGGAATAAGCCATGTTTTAAACGGAACCAGTGCTGTTCAATGACATTTTATCTGGTGTGCATAGACAAATTAACCCGGTGTAATTTATTTATGGTAACTACAGACATAACATGCACTATTTTTTCGTACTTTTAGTTGAAGAATAGATTAAATTATTTCAAATGTACTAAAATATTAATCGTTAAAAATTTCAATTACAGTTCTGTCATAACTTCTCAATTCTCACAAATTTCTCAATTCGAGTCTATGTTTCCGTTTAAAATATGGCGATCGCATGCTGACAAACTTCAAAGGCGGCATCTGAGAGTTGGCATTCTGATTTTTTATTGGTCTGTGGAAGGGGGAAGACGGAGGCGGTCAACCAATTGTGTTGCGGTCACATATATGTATTGCAGTCAAACCACGCAACGGTCAAACCATAGAGCATTGCTCGATGAGTCAAATTATTCCTTGTATACAAGAACCTTTATAATGTAAAAGCACTAAAGATGCTCTATATAGACGCACTTTTATAAAGTAGTCTGTAATTTATGAGTGTTCAATCAAATAACTTATATATAGTGGAATGACAATTCTGTACTATTTTATTATGTTTCGTATAATTTTGTGAATAATTATGTTAGATACTTTTATTTTAAACGAAAAAAACGTGTTTTTATTAAGACCGTATGACACTATACATTTTCTTGAATCATTTCTTATATCGTTTCTGATATAGAAAGTTATTTATATGTTTTCTTGTATCGTTTCTTGCACGTACATTTTTGCCCTGTATGACACTATGCAACTTCTTTTAACAGAAATTGTATGTGATTTGACACATGATTGGTCGAAATTTTGACACCTATAAAAATAGAACTTGCAGTACCTGAGGACCCCAACAAGCCACTGGGGACTGAGGACAAATGCTGTTGATTATTTTTTAAAATACTGTGATGCAAAAATGAAACAAATAAAATGTCCCAATATTAAAACTGAATTGGAAACCACAATTTTTGAAGATATTTGGTTTTAATAATTTATTTGTTTTTTTTTTAATTATGTGTTTGAATGGCCTGCTCTTGAAATTCTACTCTCTTATATTCGCTCCGTGGGTCTCCCCTCTATTTACAGTCACGTGACCGTGACATGCTGTCAGATTTGTGAGGACGTGTTAGTATTGAGTCTTATGGGATTATTTTGTTAAACTTAAATATTTTATTTTGTAGTGTTAATATCCGGATACAATTTTTAGAATTAATTAGTTATCTATTTATAGTAACATTTATAGTTCAACAAAAATATTTTTTGTCGTTAATAAAGATTTATTAACATAATTTACGAAAGTGAGGTTATATATACATGATCAACCAATGATCAACATCCATGGTATAATAAATATGTCCATTGTACCATGCACAAAAGCGTCCTGATAAAATTTCAAGCAATCGCCACCATGAGCAGGTCAGTCGATTTTGCTTTGACACTTTGTTAACCCTCGGAGCGAATAACATAATCTTTAAACTCAATTTTTAGAGCGGTTATGTATTGTTTTTAGTAAAACATCTCCTACGTTCAGTAGTTCCGATGCTATTTGATCCAATCCCTGTGATTTATTGTTTTTCAATTTGGCTACTAATGTTCTAATCTTGGTTATTGTTGGTGGACACTTTTTTCTGATGTCGGCTTGGTCTAATTGTATATCTCCTCCAGCCGCCAATATGACAGAAGACAGAAGTTTTACGTTTTTGCGGCTTTGCGCACAGATTGGCGCATTTCTTGTACAAGAAAATGCAGCGGACACAAATTCTTGTATCGTTTCTGATATAAGAAACTATACGCTTGTATGACACTATCCATTTTTTTGTTATATCAGAAACGATATAAGAAATGATACAAGAAAATGCATAGTGTCATACGGCCTTTAATTATAAAAATAAAAGTTATATTCTTTAAAAAATCCCTTGCTTGGCAATTGACTTTGACAGATGTGACGTATTTCGTTTGTGTAAAGTCAAAGTCAGTCGTCACTCGTCAGTCGAGTTCGAGTATAATTCCTGTAGAAAAAACATAAGTTTTACGTCTTATTTTGATAAAATTAGGAAGTAGTTACTCCTACTGTGATTCGAATAACAAATTTCTAATAGCAAATTACATATTACAGGGCAGTTTATAATCAGCCAATTATTCTCATCCGAGAAGTTAAAAATCTGTATTCAAAAATGAATTTTTCAATTTTTCTGTCAACTCTATTTATCATAATCTCCATTACTTTTACAAAAGGTAAAGGTTAATTTAGGTTCTATATTTAGTTCTATATTTAACAACCAATATACTTTATCTTGCAGCAGGTGATTCCAACCCCCCTATTAATGTCAATGGCAAGAATGAGACTGATATTCCAGCTATAGACAATATTACTGGTAAGTAAATTGATATTAAGGTTATTGTTCTATAGTCCTAATGTGTAAAATGTCAATATTTCTTTATATTTATGTCAAATACAATTCTTAGCATTACTCATTACACAATACTGTACAATATAGTTGAGAAGATTTTTATCTACTGCATTTCAGCATGCCATTTTTGGCAATATCAAATTAAACCAAAAAGTTTTTCTCTGTATTATTGGAAAGGCTACATGTTTATAGGTAGCAATAATCAAATTATATGTTATATTTGATGTCCTATTTGATAAGGTATTGCTTTTATTTTTCTGTAAGCTATACAATAACTTTATGTTGGTTTAAATTATTACTAGATTTGATTATAAGTCAAAATTGTAAAGATGAAGACGAGACAACTACAATACTAGTAATTCATTTATAATCAAATTTAAAGTATAAACAGAAGAAATTCAAAAATATATGACTCAAATATGCCATCATAATATAAAATTTTGAAAGTCTATTCAAAATGTTTTAAATCAAATATTTACTTTGCACATGATGAAGGTTAGCTCAAAGTATCCAAAGCAACAAGTATCACATTATTTTTTCTGATGAAATTTCGTTTTGAATATACCTACTATTCTTGATAGGCTCTTATGAATAATTGTTGGAGTTTAGTATTATAACTAATTCCTGAACCAGCAGAAATTGTTTTCTGTAATTTTGATACATTGTACAATTAAATACTGGTAGTTACAAGCTATATTAAATTTGCAAATCGAACATATTTCCAAAGGAATAATTGAATAAGATACTTATGCTGTTTTAAGAAATCTTAATACATTTATTGGTTAATATTGAGTTATTGAGGTTATGTATAAGGATTCACAATATCTAAGGACAGAAAGATAGCAACGAAGAGATAATAACAGTTCTCAATCATTTTTTTGTGTATTACCATCTCTTCTAATATTTGTATATATGCCGTGATTATTTTTTTGGCAATGGTTAAAATTTATATACTTTACTTAAAATATCCAGCATATCAGTTTTTCCACTTAAAAATGGAAGTCCTCAAAAATATATTTATGAAAATTTTACCTTTTTCATTTTTCATTTTTGTTTTTTTTTTTTAATATACCTTCAAATAAAAAAAAAACAGGAAAATACAAACTTTGTATTATGTTACTATGTTACAAAGAGATTGATACTCAAACCCTCAAATATGGAGTTGTTAGAAGTACAAAGATTGAAAATACATGGTTTTTGTGCATTTATATTCAGAGTTTCTCGCCTACTATGTGACAGTGAACTGGTGGTACTTATATGTATTTTTTTATGGAAATTTATGAAGTGATGTTAGGAATAAGTAGATTGGTAATATGTTTTTTTAATTTTAAATCCAATTGACAGATAAACACCTAACAACCTTTATGTAGATAAAGTATTTTCTAAACTGGACAATTTGAAAAATATGGTGAATATATTTACTCTTATAAATGATTAAAAATTACAAACTCATTTATATCTAACACTATCTATATTAAAGGTGCATTTTAATATGCATTTGCCTACTTATGAGGAGCCTTCATAAGGAATTCTTTGAAAATGCAGAGGGCAGAATGGATTGTCGTCACTTACTGCCAGTTGTCTAAGATTTCATGTCAAAAATAAAATAGTATATTGTTACTTATTGGTACCTTTTTTAGTGTTATACCAATTAAATGCAATAGGGTGGCAGCTAGGTTTAACAAAAATATTATAAATACTGTGTCCAGATATCAATGTGTTCTACATCTCTGATCAGTGTCTACTAAAATAAATTACTTGTTGCAAATTAAATTATACCTTTATATCAAATCTCTTCACCTAACCAGTTTTCCTTCAGGTCAAATGATTGGAAACATATTTTCACTTGTGCTTCATATGTTTATAAAAATAGTACTTTATCTATTTATATCATCTTCATTTGCCTAATAGTGGGAACATGTTTGAACTCATTTGCATCTCTACTTCTTGTTATATTTATACATCTCGTTACTAAAGGATTTTGAAGCCATATTCCCTTTGCATCTGTTGTTTTCCTTGTAATTTCATATTCCTCTAAGGTCTCCACTTTTTATAATTAGAATATCACACCTTTCATCTTCATTATGTGAACTGCAAATTGCCATTTTAGTTTTAATATTTCCTTACATCTCATACCCTTTATTTAATTTTTTCTCTAATCTGCTTATGTATTTTTATCATCATATATATATATATATATATATATATATATATATATATATATATATATATATATATATATATATATATATATAAACTGGTGGTGAATCATCAAAGGGGCATAGGAAACTTGATGGGAAATATTAAACTGTTGAATTTCTGCTTCCCTAAATTATTTTACATCAAAAGTCATGAGGTACTGTTTGTAGAAGACTGAAATCTGCATTGAAAGTAAAATGGTAACATTGTTTTTTGAATTAAACATTCCAAAATTATGCAAAAATATAATACATCTGAGAGAGTAGTGCTGTAAAAGTTAGACACATGTAGTGCAGAATGTGTACAGCAGGTTGCATTCTGTCACAATGAAGCTAGATATTAACAATTTTTTTGAATTGTCAATATTTTTATTTTATAATTTATTGTTTTAAAAATCAATAAAGTTAATAAAATGCACTCAGTTGATGTTTTATTAAGCCAATGGTATGATCACTGCCAGATCTCTTTTTATTTATTTCAATGGTAGAACCATTTACAATAAAATACAAAAAATAGTAAAAAGTAAAGATCATGTAGGTACAATAAACATCAAAAAAACAACAAAGAAACAATTAAACAGTATAAATTTGTACACTAAAACAGTATATCAAATTACAAAAGGTAAAAAAGAGTCTTTACCTTTTATAAAAGGTAAAAAATATCACAAATTTAGAATTAGACCCTTAAGTTGCTTTTTAAAAATATTAATGTTTGGACAGAATGGATCCAAAATAGGAGGTGATTACAAGAGCTGAGCATTATTGACAAAATAAAAAGACGAGCAGAATCAGTCCTATGAAAAGAAATATAAAAAAATGCAATATGTTGAGTTCTATGTATTGTGTTTATGTACATACTGGCAAATAATGGAGGACTATTAATAACGTTATTTAGAATTTTAAACAGAAATAACATATAGCTCTCAACCTGCAATTCTTCAGTGTAGCAATGTTAAATTGAGACATTATTACAGAATAATCTATGAAATAATTTTTTAGTATTTCTTATATTAATATGTGCTTTAAAAGCTAAAGACCTTAGAAACTTTTGCTGAACACTCATCCATCAATGTAGACTTTTGAAATGGGGGCCAAACAACAGAGCAGTATTCCAGAGCTGAGCATACCAGAAGGCAATACAATAATTTGAATACAATAGGTGAGAGATCATGACAGTTAAGATAAATAAAACTAAGATTATGAAATCCTATTTCCTTAATTATAAGAAAATGGCTTCTAAATGTCAATGCACAATCCAATAATACACCCAAATCTTTAATCTCAGTAACTGAATCCAAAAGTACATAATTGGGAACATATATATTAGCTATTAGATTATTTATTAGACCAAATTGAATACAAGAACTTCTAGTTGGATTTAAGCTTAAACCATTTTGTTTAAACCATAAACATATATTATTTACATCATCTTGCAAGAGATCTCTATCTGATTTATCATGTATATAACGAAATAACTAAAGATCATCAGTAAATAGCATATTTAGCATATAGTGTGAGTTTTTGATAGCCTTACCAATATCGTTAATGAACAAATTAAAAAATAAGGGACCACAATGAGACCCTTGTGGGACACCAAAACAAAAATGCACTTCTTTTGAAATATAATTGTTAATATGAACTTACTGTGTACATCCCATCAGAAAACTTTTAATACAATTAACAATAGGGTCACCAAAGCTAGATGCAGAAAATTTGTGGACTAAAAGGTTATGGTTATCCTTGTCAAAGGCCTTTGAGAAATCAGTGTAAATGCTGTCGACCTGAATTTTAATCTCAAATGCACCCTACAAGTATTATTGATAATTGACAAGGTTGGTTACTGTTAACTTCCCGTTAAAAAATCCATGTTGTTCATCAATAATTGTTGATGTTTCTGCAATCGCAGGTGATATTTACGATACCAATTTATTAAGAAGTTTTGGGATTGCTGACTGAATAGTTATACCTCTATAATTGTTAACACACTCACGATTTCCAGATGTATAGATAGGTATAAGAAAACTATTTTTCCAATATTGTGGAAATACAGATGATACAATGATAAATTGAAAATTTGTTGTAAAGATTTACAAAGGGAAAAAATACAGTTCTTAATAAGTGCTGCAGGTATACCATCAGGCCCGGAAGAATATGTAGTTGTTAAACTCATAATCCCCTCAAAAACATCAGTCAATCTAAATGTCAAAATCTGGAAATTCACACTATAGTCCAATTCAAAATTAAATAAATTATGATCACTATCGTTATATGTACCTGAAAAATAAATGGCAAACAGATTGACCAATTCATCACCTTTCTGAGCTATTAAATTTCCACCTTTATTAGACATTACATTAGAATAAGCACTAGACCCACATGTAGCACTAAGTTGGCTGTATACCATCATGTAAAATAATATTTGCTAGAGAGTGATGGGAACACTCAACTGTGCCTCAGGTAGATTGTAGTCACCACAAATACAGAATTCACAACCACTGAATTTATCTGCTCAAGTCCAACATACAGGTGGAATGCTCCTCATATACTGACGCAGATGACTGTGGAGGGAAGTATACCAAACCAATGACTAACTTTTTTGTGTAGGCTCGATAGGCTTTAACATCATTGAATGAACGGGCTTATTAACAGCAATAAGAACACCACCACCACAAGTCTTTGAACTAGTTTGAGTGTCCCTGTCATGTCTATACACATTAAAGTCACTCAGTCCCAATCAATTCAGCATCTAAGATTCTAGATGTAAGC